AGCCATTAGCTACAACTGACTTAAGACTCCTCACCTTTAAAACAGCTTTTCTCCTAGCCATCACCTCAGCTCAATGAGCTAGTGAATTGGCAGCTATACCCTATGACTACTCTTATCTACAATTTCTTCCTGAGAAGGTCAAGTTATTCGTGGACATTACCTTCCTCCCCAAAATTGTCTCTCAATTTCATCTTTCCCAGCCGATTGTCCTTCCTTCATTTTTTGCGTCACCTTCTTCAAACCAAGAAAAAAAAATGCTCCATATGTTGGATGTCAGAAGAGCTCTTGCTTTTTATCTCCAACGTTACCCAACCTTCTCATCTCTTCATAAGCCATCAGCTACCTACAAAAGGCTGTCAGGTGAGTTCCCAATCTATCTCCAGATGGGTCGCCTCTACCATTCATTTGGCTTATCATCGACAACCAGCCCCTAGAGTGGTTTGCCCTCACTCCACCAGGGCAGTGGCAGCCTCTACAGCCTTTCTCTGTGCCGTACCTCTTCCGGACGTCTGCGCCTCTGCCACTTGGGCACAGCCGTCCACGTTTATCCGTCATTGTAGACTCGACCTCCGGCAGAAATCTGATGTGGCCTTTGGATGTGCTGTTCTAGCCTCTACCTTGGCGTGACACCCTGCCCCTGGGTAAGACAGCTTTTTAGTCACCAGGGTGTGATTTACAGGGGCCACGAAGAAGAACGACAGGTTACCCACCTGTCACTGCAGTTCTTCGAGTGGACCTCTCTGATTCACACATCCCGTAGACTCGACCTCCGGCAGAAATCTGATGTGGCCTTTGGATGTGCTGTTCTAGCCTCTACCTTGGCGTGACACCCTGCCCCTGGGTAAGACAGCTTTTTAGTCACCAGGGTGTGATTTACAGGGGCCACGAAGAAGAACGACAGGTTACCCACCTGTCACTGCAGTTCTTCGAGTGGACCTCTCTGATTCACACATCCCGCCCGTCCTCCCCTCTGTCGCTCCACTGTTTGCTTACTATTAAGCAGCGGTTGACACAACTGGAAGGGGACATTTGGCGCCAAGGTACTTATATGGGTGGGGAGGGGCATATTATAATGTGTTCATTGCTACCACAGAAGCTCTAGAATCTTCTGATGAGGCTCTGTGCAGGCACAAATCACCCAGGGTGTGAATCACAGAGGTCCACTTGAAGAGCTACAATTACAGGTGGGTAACCTGTCATTCGGGGCTGGGGGTGGGGAAATCTGCCTGTTTGCAGGTTCCGGTCCAGACCTGAGAGGGGCTGACAGTACAGGAGGTACAAAAGCCAGAAGTTGAGACTCTGTTGGTTGCCAAGCCCAAGAAAGCCACTGGTGTCACCTTGGCCTTCGACACAGGTAAGGCCCCTCTGCTTTCCTATAGGGCTGACAGGTCTGGACCCCAGCCTGCCCAGTCTTGAGATCTCGGGGCCACCTGGCGGTACTTTGGAGTGGCTGTTCATGACTTCTGAGCCAAACGGGGATTCGTTGAGATTGCTTTTGGATCAGGTGATGCTTGCTGGCTCTTCCCATTGCCCTCCCCTGCCTGCAAATTGAGGAGGTGGCTCAATGTGCCTTTACCCTTCCCAGCGTGCTGCCAGGAGAGCAGTGAGGGCCTGTGTGGCCTTTGCCCGTGATGTCTCCAAATGCTTTTGAGCAGAACGAGAGGAAGGGTCCTGGCAGTCAGAGCCCTCTGACGGGGGGGGGCACTCTTTCCCTCTCTGCTGCAGGCAGCACACACACAGCCACTCTCCTCAGCCCCCCCCCACCTGAGGGGTGCCCCCTCTCTCTGTTTTCTCTCCCACAGTTTCTTCCCTTGCAAGACCCAGCAACGGGCACGCAGCCTGGCCCACAGGAAGATGGCCAAGTCTCTTTTCAAGGGCCCCCTGACGCTCTGGTATTTTAACTTGATCAACTCTGAGAAAAAACTGACCGAAAAGTTCCAAGAGAACAAATATTTCCCATTCCAGGTCCAGCAGCCCAAAGGTGAGGAGCTCCCCGCCCTCGCAGGCATCCGTTGCGTCTTTCTTTCTCCAGGCTTCACGAGCCTCGTTCTTTATTCCCTACAGAGGCGCACACGGGGACACCTCCCTAGACGACAGGGAGGCAGGAGCCCTCAGAGAAATCTGGGCCACTTGGCTACAAGCCCCCACCCCTCCCGGTCCTCAAAAGGTGCCCCAGTGTTGCCCTAACGGAAGGTGGGAGCCAGAGCTTTGCTTTGGCCCAAACAGACCTGCAGCCACCAGGACCCCTCTTCGTTCAAGGACAGGGACTGGACT